GCCCGAGCCGCGGGGCAGCGTGAGGCGTTCCGGAGAGCGGGTCGCTAACGCGCCGTTCCTCTCGCCGCGGCAGTGGGTGGCCAGCATCGACCTGGCGGAGAACGAGGACGCCAATGCCAACGTGGTGGTGGGGGTGACCGAGTCCTTCCCCGACCAGGCTGAGCAGGTGGGTCAGCATCGGGGGGCGGGTCGGGCATCCGCTGCCCGGGAGGCCTGAGGCGGCCCTCTCCGGGCTAGGCTGTGGAAGGGAGGCATCCGGCCTCCCGTCGTGTTTTCCGCCATTCGCCCGTTGCCCGCCACTGTAGTAGCTGCGGTGAGTAAGGCGGCTTGTGAGGATGGGTCCGGTTTCAGGCACGAAGCCGCCGCTGTGGGGCTCAGGAGCCTGGCCGGTGGCGGTCCTGCTGCAGTACCCTGACCCAGAAGGTCTCAGCTTCTGCTCCTTGCTTCTTTTTCATTTTTTGTTAATTTCCTTTTGACTGCATGCATGCATGCATGAATGAGTGTGCAGAAGGAGTTTGACCTGCGATTATGGAGGTTCAGCACATAAGGCAGTTCTGCGTTGCTTTTCTCCTGGTGACTTGAAAAGTCACGGCCTGAATCAGACAAGTATAGTGAAGATGGATTAGGACATGACAAAATGCAACACTTCTTTCTTGTCCTAAATGGGTGTAGGTAGATGGTACCCTCCAAGCATGCAACCCTAAGCCCCCATGGGATTTCTGGAGAGCGCACTGGTTTCCGCCAAGGTAAAAGTGGGCAGACTCAAAGCTTGCTTAAAAGCTGGTTTGCTTTCTTCTCAAGATACAGGATTTTTTTTTTTTTAAAAAACTTAAACTTTTGAACCTATTTCTCTAATTGATGAACTGAATCATTAGCCAATATGTTTTCTTTATATCTACACAACTCTTAAGGCTTTTAAAGAGTAATGTAGAATGTTTACAATATATTTTTCAATGCTAAGCCATTGTAAAAACCAGTGGATTTTTTTCTTTTTTTGAGCAATCAATTGTTTGCTTTTCACTTTGACAGAGAAAATTCATAGCCAACAAATTCATTACCAACTGTGAAGTCTTATATTTGAGAGATAAAAAGATGCTGGATATCTAAAAGCATACAAACTCAAATTTAGGGGTCAGGCTCAAACTGATGGTTGTGGTCTAGATAGAAGCAATAAGAAGGCTGATCTTTAGTTGTTCATTTCTTGCGCTGTCATCAAAAGTGACACCAGTAGTCCTGGTCAGACCTGGAGTTTCATTTCCCATATTAAACAGCACCATACCCAGAGAAGAACCTGTCAAAAAGTAAGTCATAAATAAATTTTTTTGTGAATGATATAGGTAAGGGTTAGATTTTTCACTTCCTGCTCAAATCAGTTATTTCCAGTGACACCACACACTGTATGGTCTGACTTTCATCTATAGTTATCTTTCAACACAATTAAGTTCATAGATCATAAATGTTAATTTTCTGCAGCTGTTTAAACTGCTGTATGTTGAGTTACTCAGCTACATAACTGGAAAAAAGCAACTTTAAGGCAGTTTTGGTATTCACTCCTTTACCTTATCAGTCTAGTGTTTTCAATATGTTTTTGTTCTGTGTATTGAAGGTGACAACAGAAGTTGGAAAACTTCTTGGGGAAGAAAAGGTGGATGCAATCTTGTGTGTAGCAGGAGGATGGGCTGGAGGCAGCGCCAAAGCTAAATGTAAGCCTTTGGTACACGCATGCTAGTCAACATGTAAAATCTGAGGAGAATTCTTAAAAGTCATGGCAATACAGATATTTGAGATCATCTTTCTTCCTGAGTCCAGAAGAGGACATGAGCCTCAAAGTACAAAATAGCTCAGTCACAATACTACTTAGAGCTTCTCTGAATTTTTGCTGTTAAATTTGTACAGTGCTTAGTATTCTCAGTAATACTTCTTGATGCACTGATGTTCATTGGAAAAATCTTGATGCACTTTCTGAAGGAGTTCAGAATTATTATCTATGAAGTAACTTTTGCCGAGGTTACCTGTGTCAGGCAAGTTACATAAGACAGTGGCTGGTTAGGAACACTGATGTTGTTTCCTAACTCATTGCTTTATGCATAAAACCTCAGTTGCCTCCTGCAGTTCACTGAGCTATTACTGTGCAATACAGTATTGGAAGGAGCTGTCTAATGATCTGAAATCATGCTACAGAAAAAAGCCTTTTGTTTAAAAAAAAAAAAACAACAAAGCTTTTAAACATGTAATATTCAGAATGAAATTTTATACTTTACCCACTAGTGTAGAGATACAAGCAAAAAAAAAAAAAAAAAAGCCTGTTTTCTATCTGGAGTAAATCTGGTAAAAAGTGTCCTTTTTCCCCCTTCCATTTCAGACATTCCAGGCAAAGATTTTTTTTTTAAAGACAAACAATATAGCATACACACTTAGACCACAGTGAATATGTTTATAGAGTTGCATTATATATGTTGAAGTAGAAAATGGTAGAAAGCATGTTTTTGTAGTCCTGTTGCATAGTGCTGTTGCACTCTGTGTGACAGTGAAATTAACTAAAAGATAGAAGACTTCTAACTTTAATTTCATTACTAATTGTCTTCCTAATTTAGCTTTATACAAAAACTGTGATCTGATGTGGAAGCAGAGCGTTTGGACATCCACTATTTCCAGCCACCTAGCCACAAAACATCTGAAAGAAGGTGGCCTCCTGACTTTGACAGGAGCTCAAGCTGCTTTGTCTGGAACCCCAGGTAAAACGCAATGCATGATAACTGCTGGGACGTCAGCAGTTATAGCTATCTATTGCTTCACAAACAAAAATGCTCAGACTAAGTTTCACTCCCTAATTTGTTGACATCTAGTGCAAATGGAAAATTGCTGCTGAAACACTTCAGGAAAGTGTAATTTTACAGGTAGCAATACTGAATCTCTTGAAGCTGGAGTGCAAACAGATAGAATTGGTATTTAAATAATATTTGACGTGCATTGGTGAAATGTACTTGGCTAATATATGATACAGCATAAAAAAGTTTGGAAAATAATGAAGAGTAGAAGCACATAGCAAGCTGCAAGTATGGTGCTTAAATAAAGTTAAATCTCCTATTTGTGTTCTGAAAGGCAGAGTCCTTAACTGCCCAATTTTTCCATTGCTGATGACTCGGCTGATTCCGTTAAATGTACTTGTCCTGTTTGTGTTCTGATTCCATTCTACCTTTGCTTCAGATACAGATAAGCTTGTTGACCTTTGGTTTTGCCCTCCGCTAGCTACTTAATGTGAACTTTATTGACTTTTTTCATCTCTCTCCTCACCACGTTGGTCTGCATGGAGGAAGAAATCTGGGACCAATTTACAATTTAAAAAAAAAAAAGCACTGGCACACAAGCCTACAGGCAAGGAGAGGAAAGTCTTTGAGGCAAATACTCTTATTCCCCGATCTTTTATTAGTGTGACTTCAACAATATTTTGATGAGACATAGATACTAGCATTTTAAAACTTACAATAAAATTTATGAATATTCCTGAAAGCTGTGTCTAACACTGTTCAGGGAAAAATATGCTAGGTAATGATTTATCTTCTATGTTTACAGCTGCATCTGGCATAGTCTGAAGATAAAAGGCTTATTTTATGAGAATAAGCAGATGAATAATTTACTGTGTACTACGGACTGACTGTAGACAAATGAAAAAAATGTGAACTCTGGCAAACTTTCATGGTTTTTGTTTGGGTAGTTTTGGGAGGTAGGGACCACAACACAGGAATCAAAGTGATTTGGTTTCATGTTTTGAACCAGCTGGTTTCAACGAGTCTGGATTTTTCTAAAAAACACAGCAGTGCTTTGGGCAAACACATGCAATTTATTAACATCAGGAAGAATTGGGAAAGAACTGTTACTCAACTTTTGCAAATATGACTTGTTAGGCTTGTTACTACCAGGCATTATGGAAGGAATAATGTTTTTCTTGTTTGCTGTTAGTGTCATTTTTCTTTCCCTGTGTGAAAATGTTGACTCACATAATGCAAATTGAAGAATACTGAAAATTATATAAATGGTTACAGAAGCAGTCTGACAGGGATGGCTAAGAAATGTAGAAGCATTCAGTTTTAAGAAGTCTTGCTATGTTTGGTCTAGATGAGACGAGGGGAATAAAATAGAGATGCAAATATCTTTATCGTAACAATAAAATAAGTTAGCTACTGCTGCCCATGATTCCTCCTCATAAAAATGGATGTTACACTGTATCTCTAATTGAATATAATGGAAACGCTTCTGCAATGCAAAATTACTTTTGTAACTTTGATAGAAAATGCTTCCTCAGGAATGTCGAAAAGAGGTTGTGTAGTTAAATAGATGGGTAGAAAGGCATCCAGTTTTAGCAGGCAAAATATGTTTATTTTTTCTTTTGTGCTTAATCTGTGTCTAGACTGCATGGCAGATAGAGACTATGAGACATCTCTGATGTGTGGCACCCTGGTTGTCCAAATTTTGTACCTCACCAGTGTACCTTACGCTTGCATTCCTGTTGTTCTTACGCTGCTAAATGCTGTCTGCCTAGAAAGCAACAGCGTTTAGGAAGAAGTTTGCTTTACCTGCAGGTTATCTAGTAATTTTCTACCATAAGAGGTTGTTTGTAGTTTTCTCCAAAGAGCCTGTCGGACTTGAGACGCTGACCCAGCGAATTACAGTTCTGGAGAGAAGCGAGCTGTACCTGTTTGGGTCCAAACCTGCAAATACCTTAGTCGTATGATTAGAATTAATGGATGGTTGCCTTATTAAAGACTATGAACATCTTCACGCTTACTCTATTAGGTTAGTAAAGTTAGTCTTGTAGGTCCCAACCTTCAGGGTGCAATAACTAAGCATATTTAACTTGCTAAGGTGCTTATTTTTGCAGTGCTGAGTAATACCAGTGCTGTGGTAGTTCCTGAATGTTTAGTACAAGCTTTCTGTCTTGTCTTTTTTTCCTTTTTTCTTTTATTATTTATGTTTTGATATGTTTTAAAAATCTGATTCTGTTCTGGCTGTGGTAAATGGTCTTAAACTTAATATTCATCAGACAGTCTGAGTTTCTATCATACTACTGATGATAGCGAGAGCTGGTTTGATTGTGCTCTAATGTGCTTATTTTTAATTGTTAGGGATGATTGGCTACGGCATGGCCAAAGGAGCAGTGCACCAGCTTTGTCAGAGTTTAGCCGGTGCCAATAGTGGTTTGCCATCTGGTTCTGCTGCTGTTGCCGTTTTACCGTAAGTGGTTGCGTAGTTGCCTCTGCCTGCGTTGTATTGTTTAATTACCGCTGTGACCTAGAGTCACGTGGATATGCTTGCGGTGTCCTGTTCACAGTATGCAAACAGCTTCTCAGACCTGCTTAGTTTCACAGAGAAAAGAGACGTCTTGAATGTATGAACGTAATGATGTGCAGGCCACCCTAGAAATGATTCCATTCTTTTCCTTCCCTTTGCAAAACAGTAGTGGATGTTAGGATTAAAATTTGATTCACTTTTAACCACTTTATAGCCATGCATTAATGTGTGATCTATTTTTTTTTCCCAGTATAGTCAGAACTCTGAAAATGAGATGAGCTATTCAGCACAGCTTTAGACTTAGCTGTAGGATGATAGCAAAGCAAAGGATTACTTGACAAGTTTTGACTTGGTTAAAGATGTTTCTTCATAAGGTGCTGCATATCTGTGCTTGATCAGTAAAATTAGGTCACTTTGAGAATCTGTGAAAAAAGAAGTTTAGCTTGTATTTGCCTGTTACAGCTTTCTTTTTGATGTGGAAAGCTAGTAAAAAGTGGATGGCCTAGTATGTCTTCACTATGTCGAAATTTATCAGTGCTGCTGCAAAAATTAAAAGTATTTTTCTTGCCAGGTCCATATCTAGTTCAGGACTCAAAACTTAAGACTAAACAGTTGTGTATAGGGATTTGGAACATCACCTGCATTCTTCAGGTCAGACAGCAACGACATTTAAAGTGTTTGGATAATTATCATCGCCTTCTACAGAGCTTGAGAGGCAGACAGACACAAAGATGGCTGGACTTTCGAGCACTCTGTACGTGCATACTTCTCATGCAAAACACTGTTCTTGAGTGAATTTTTGAGAGCGTAATTATACTTTGGATTGTCAACAGCATCTCAGAGCGTTGTGAGAAGCTGACCCGTTGATATCGTTGTATGTATACATATTTACCTGTAGTAAATATGTATCATCTAAGTCAAAACTTCCTATGCTTGTGCACTGTACCTCTGCACTTGCAGCTGGTATGAGGCTGTTTGAAAGCATGGGTGTAGTGCGTATGTGCTGTGCAGTCACAGATTCACAGAGCGGTAGGGGTTGGAAGGGACCTCTGGAGATCATCTAGTCCAACCCCCCCCCCGCTAGGCCAGGATCACTTAGAGGATGTTGCACAGGATTGTGTCCAGGTGGGTTTTGAATATCTCCAGAGAAGGAGACTCCACAACCTCTCTGGGCAGCCTGTTCCAGTGCTCTGTCACCCTCGGAGTGAAGAAGTTTTTTCTCATGTGTAGGTGGAACTTTCTGTGTTCCAGTTTGTGCCCGTTGCCCCTTGTCCTGTCACTGGGCACCACTGAGAAGAGTCTGGCCCCTTCCTCTAGACATCCACCCTTGAGATATTTAGAAGTATTGATGAGATCCCCCCAGTCTTCTCCAGGCTAAACAGTCCCAGCTCTCCCAGCCTTTCCTCATACGAGAGATGCTCCAGTGCCCTCATTGTCTTTGTAGCCCTCTGCTGGACTCTCCAGTAGTTCCCTGTCTGTCTTGAACTGGGGAGCCCAGAACTAGACGCAGTATTCTAGATGTGGCCTCAGCAGAGCAGAGGGGGATGATAACCTCCCTTGACCTGCTGGCCACGCTCTTCTTAATGCATCCTAGGATACCAGTGGCCACCGTGGCCACGAGGGCACACTGCTGGCTCATGGAGAGCGTTGAACAAGCAGCCCATGTGAACAAGCATATTACTGCTGTTCCCTGTCTGCATAATGGAGACTGGGAGGGAGCTGCTGGCTGGGCGATTGGCCTAGTGGGCTGGATGTCTTCAGCCAGCCAGCCAGGAAGGTGAGGGATTATAGGTTGAAACTGATGGCTATATGCTGTGTTAACACATGTAGAGGATGCAAGGGAGATCCGTACCACGTGGTATAAAAGTCAAGCATATGTTACAGCAATGAATGGAAGCAGGTGGTGCTTATCAGACTCATGATGTATAAATAAAAGAGTTATCTTTTTTAATCACAGGGTTACCTTAGATACACCAGCAAACAGGAAATCAATGCCTGATGCAGATTTTGGCTCCTGGACACCCTTAGAATTCATTGCTGAGTGAGTATCCATGCGATAATCAATTCCTCACTGTCCCTCTTGCTGCTGCATCTTACTGCATGTTCTGTCTAAAAAGCTGTCTTGGATTTGGGTGGATTTTTTTCCTCCCTCACCTCCCCATTGTGTAGGTTTCTAAATCAGGTTGGGTTTATTGCACAGGCCTCTTAACTGGACAAAATTAGCCCAACTCCATCAGTTTCAGTGTCTCTACACCAGTTATTCCGACAAGGGAGATAGCCTTAAGCAGTTGGAAGCCAGAGAATCTCATAAAGCCTGTAGACAAATTAAATTGCAGACAGCAGATGCAGGAGACAGTAGTCTGGCTTAAACTGCAAAAAGGCATGTAAAGTTTGGTGGGATTTTTTTTTTTCTTTTAAACACTTTTCACTGCTCAGTCTATGGTGTGTAAGTTCACTACTCTCAACTGGCAAAATCCTGGCTCTTGTTTAGAAAAATTGAATCAAGATTTATTCTTTTTTCCCATCATCCACAAAGCCTTGTCCTGAATGACAGCAAAATGCTGAACTTTAACTGTAGCTTAGGTAACAGCAGGCTGAGATTATAAGGCTTACTGCTTCTGATTCCTCTCAGTTAGAGAAGGTGCAGCGTAAGTAACTGCTTTCAGTGATGTGATGGGGAGTAGCAAAGATTCTGCTGAGGGTGAGCTGTCAAAAGGAAGAAAATAAGGACATAACTGTCTTGCCTCTGAGGAAAAAAAGATGAATTTGTGTTCATACGTCATAAAGGGCTTTACTCTTAAATGTTTAAAGTCTTCCAGAACTGACACTGAAATTGGATTTCCCTATTGGTAATTGTTCAGAGAGTAGTTTAGTTCTGACATGAGATTTCCTTTTTTTGTGTGGTTTTTTTTTTAAAGTTGGATGTCTGAGTGGGAAATGGTTCTTGTTGCTAGAAGCCTATGCAGCTGTTTGATGTGGGCCTTTAAAAGGGCCCCATCAATTCAGTTTTGTTGGTCTAAAAATGTTCAAAACAAGATCTTTAATTTATTGTGCTCCAGAGACTGCTTAGCCAGATATTATGTTTTTACAAATTCATTTTTTTAATTTTAACTTTTAAGTATTTTTTTCTTATTGGAGAATTAGGTTGGTTTGTTTTGTTTCTTGGGTTCCAATTCCCTAAACTTTAAATCCAGCTTTGAAAACTGAAAATCTCACTGGCTGTGGAAGAAAAGCATCCAATGTTGTTGTGTGTTGGTAGCATCTGCATCTTGGGAAGGATGCAGGAAATCTTTTCCTATATGGCACTTGAATTTTGTGCCCTGGAAGCCGTTATGTAAGGTACCAGGACGTTCCAATATGGCAGTTGCTACATCTGCAATATTGGAAGGGTTGATGGACCTGAAAAATATACTGCACTTTGTCATATTTTGGGTAAGGAGTTTGTATTACATTTTGATAAGGAACATACTGGTGTTCTACCTACTACATCTCACTTGGCACTATTTTGGATGTCTTGGGGCTTTCTCTGCTTCTGCCAAGATCACTTTCACAGTTAAATATCTAAGCGTTATAATGGCCTGTTGGCAGAGTAATAAGTTTAGCAACTCCATTTTAGCCAGAAATTTGTGTTTCTAATATATGTTATAAAGGCAGTGTAAGTAGCCTCTCCTTCCCCTTTTCAAGTTGGTTTGGCTTTTTTTTAACTTGGAAAAAACTTACCACTTCGGCTTGCCACTTTGACATTTTAAGCTCCTGGCCTTTTCCTTTGGAGATGTTCTGAAAATCCTGTGTGTGCTGTAAAGTGCTATGGATTGCTTTGGGCCTCTGTCCAGCTCTGAGGGTCTCAATCCAGTGATCTCATTGCTAGCTTACAACACACAGGGAAATCACTACAGAGGGCAACAGAAAAAGAGGGAGAAGTAATAGGCTTTTATTTTATGCTTCCCATCAATATACCTGATAGTGGTATTTATTCTTGTCCTCCTCCTTACCCTGTTTTATCCATTTATTTTAAAACAGAACCTTTTACGACTGGATAACAGGAAAGAATCGACCAAACTCGGGGAGTCTAATCCAGGTGATAACAACAGGAGGGAAGACTGAACTAGTTGCAGCAGCACATCTTTGATGTCAGTCACTTAAGGCAGTGGAACCTCAGCAAAGGAGAAGGAAAATCTGTCTGCCGGTATAATCTGGATGGTCTTCTGTATCCAGTGATTGTAGTTGTGTCATTAATGGAACCAGATTTCAAGTAATATTTCTGTGCTTTCAGTTGTGAGCTATCAGTATTTGTTTACCAACAAGTATCAAGTATGTGTCTCTAAATGAAAGCTGCAGGCTTTAAAGTCTGTAGGTGTCCTAATTCTGAGCATTATATGTCGTCTTACCTGTTTTCTCTGAAATGGGAATTGTGCTTAATTGTGTACGTAATTGTTGAAATTTTTTTTCTCAGTGTTTCTGGCAATTTATTGTGAATCTTTCAGTAGTCTATCTGTCTTTTTCTGTCTGAGAATATAACGCTGCCCCTGCATATTATGTTGGCTGTAATTCTAGGAAACATTGCAGTCATAGATCATGTCCTAGTCTTGTAACATTTTTCTTGTGGATGTTCCACTTGAGTTAATGGAACTCTATGGAGATTACTCACGTGAGGAGGAGTTCCTGACTTGCCTTACAGTTTATAAGCTGCTATCAGGCCTACAGTTGTTGGATAAAACAGTTGTTCTGCCAAATGATTAGTATGTCTCTGTGTTAGTCATAATGGTTCTTTACTTTTTGAAGAAGCCAAGTGCTGTAAAGAAGTACTAGAAAAAGCATACACACACTTCTATTTGAATATGGAACTTTTTGTGCTAAATAAATGTATATTGTTTTATGTACTGGGGTGTCTCCATCACTGTAATCCAAATATTTGGATAACAATCAATTTAACTGAACTTGCAGTTCAGTTATGGCAAAGGACTTAATTTTTTACTTCCTTCTGATCATGCTACGTAAAATACACTTCTGTGGTAGAAGTGCAGCAGAGCTACCAGCCTTGCCTAGAGGCAGGCCTCCAGCTGGAGCAGATGTTTTCTTTAGTCCAGCTACATCATGTGGAAATACGGTTTGGTTGCAGAGTGAAAGTAATGCCTATTCTGAGCGTAGGCTTACATGGAATCGGTACTGTCAGGTGGTTTTGGAACACCTTGAAAACAGCTGAATGTGCAAACTTGTGTGTGCATTCTCTCTGTGCACTTCAGGGGACAATTTATTGCCATGAGTCAGGAAACCTTCCCCTCTTCCCCCTCGGAAAAGCTCGCGTGCCCATGTTGATTTTAACATGGTCATATGGCTGCCTGATTGCCTTTTCGGGTATGACTGTCCTTTTACTCATCTTGTTTTGCTGGATGCAAAGGTAGAGGGAGGAATTTTTGTCCTGTCAAGAACTGTGAATTCATGAAGCTGCTTTTGATTTTTAAATGAAAGACTGGCAGCCATGCTATTTGGCAAGCACTATCTACAGGCTAAGGGTACAGACAAAACCCATGAGGCACTGATCAGGAATGAAACACCAAGGTGCTACTGGATTATTCTGGCAAAGGGCAGAGCCATCATACGACAAGCTTGCATGATTTGAAGGCTTCATTGTGCCATGCTAGCTGAATTTCCAAGTTGCATTGAAGTTGCTGTGTTGTGTTGTCTTGTGAACAGCTATTGAATTGCACCTCAGAAGCTCCCTGAAGAGCAGATCAAACTTTCAAATGGTGAGGGGAGCACAGCTGGGGTTCCAGATGTGCATTTGTACTGCTGGATAAGAGCACAGGGCCAAGGACCTAGCAGGCTGTATGGCTCATGGATATTTTTGCAGAACTTGCTGTGGCAGAAGATGGTAACACAGTAAACAGGACTAAGATGAGCAGAGAATCTTTTATTTGCTAAGGGCTACCAGGGCTTTTAATTATTAATGGCATCATTAACAACCTGGTGAGAAAGGCAAATGGCTGGTCATGGGTGACATAGAATTAAGTTGAAGGTTGTGACTAACCAATCCTGAGATTATACAGGAGGAGAGAGGGAAACCAGGTTTAAATTTTGGTAGAGAATAAAAGGTCACAAAAAGACAATGAGGTACAATGTGTGCATTTCAGAAGCTAGATCGATTCCTCCTTCTTCACACGAAAGACCTGATGGTCCCAGTAGGAAAACATGAGGCTAGTCTGTGGTTCTGACCTAGATGCTTCAGGTATGCTCTGCCAGTGTCAACGAGAGAGAGGGCTGTGAGAACAGGGGAGGTGTCTACGCTACGCCAAGGAGAGGGTGGCTGAGCTCCTGGAGACCTCACCTGGGCAGTTAATGTGAGCAATTTCTCCATTCCATAAAAGGTGTCTACCCCAGTGTCCTCATTCAACTTGCACTGGTGCCTACTGGATGAGAAGCCGTAATGGAGCTATTGGAAAAAATACTGTGTTGACTGTAGTAATGTAGGAGTGGTGGAATATGCTAACTGTGAAACAGTGAATAGTGTTAAATATAATTGTGAATGGAAGGCTGTTGACTGGATTGTTAAATTTTATCAGTTGCAGGTACGAGCGGAAAGATACCAAAATGGCATTATTGAAGCTTGAGAGTGGGAATGAAGGTGTTGGCACGTGTATGTCAAGCTTGCTGCTAGAGGTGAGAGATTTAACCTGGGGGGTTGGATGGAAAGGAGGCTTTATGTGACCAGCTCCGTCCTGTGTCTCTACAAACTTTATTCCAGTGAAGTAATTGTCTAGGGAAAAAAACCACTATGTTCAACACTGCAAATGCCAGTGTTGCCAGGTTCAGAGATCTGTTGGTGCTGCAGTGAGGAGGAGAGATGTAGTCTGTGGGAACTGCCAGGAGGTGATCCACATGGAACACACACACTGACACACAACTGGAGACCTCAGGTCTGTTGTGAAGATTTTCACGGAATCACAGAATGGTTTGGGTTGGAAGGGACCTAGTCTAGTCAGCTTACAACTTCCTCACGAGGGGGAGCAAAGGGGCAGGTGCTGATCTCCTCCCACTGGTGACCAGTGATAGAACCCGAGGGAACAGAATGAAGCTGCAAGGGGGGAGGTTTAGGTTGGATATCAGGAAAAGGTTCTTCACCGAGAGGGTGGTCAGGCACTGGAACAGGCTCCCCAGGGAAGTGGTCACAACACCAAGCTTGGCTGAGTTCAAGAAGCGTCTGGATAACACTCTCAGTCAATATGCTCTGATTTGGCTGGTCCTGTGTGGAGCCAGGAGTTGGACTCGATGATCCTTACAGGTCCCTTCCAACTCAGGGTATTCTATGATTCTATGATAGTCCACCCCCCTGCCATGGGCAGGGACAACTTAGTGCTTCTTACAGAAATACAGTACCTGATGAATTTCCACTCCAGTGTTGTTGAGAACCCCTGCATTGTTCAGCGTATTTTACTATTTAGGTGGCACTATCAACAACGATGTAATACCACAGAAGTAGTTTATCCTCCTTTAATTTAAAGAATGCAGTATTTATTAATTTCTTCTATAAACAGCTGAATTTACCATATTTTAATTTAGGACTGTACAGCTGGTGTCATATTAAAAAAATTACATGCATAGTAAGGCACTTTCCTATACAACCTTCTTTTGAAGATGCATACTGCTGTTTACTAAAGAAAGAGATCAGTGAGGTCTGAGGAGAAATAAAAGACAAATCATGCCTGTCGTGGTTTTACCCCAGCCGGCAG